TTTTTTTTTGTGAGGAAGACTGGCCCTGAACTAACATCCGATGCCAATCTTCCTCTTTTTGCTGAGGAAGATTGGCCCTGGGCTAACATCTGTGGCCATCTTCCTGTACTTTATATGGGACACTGCCACAGCATGGCTTGACAAGTGGTGCGTTGGTGTGCACCCAGGATCTGAACCTGCAAACCCCGGGTCGCCGAAGCAGAGCACGCGCACTTAACAGTTGCACCACCGGGCCGGCCCTACCTTCATACTAGTTCTTTTTTTGTTTGTTTGTTAGTTTGTTTTTTTTGTGAGGAAGATCAGCCCTGAGCTAACATCCATGCCAGTCCTCCTCTTTTTTTCTGAGGAAGATCGGCTCTGAGCTAACATCTATTGCCAATCCTCCTCCTTTTTTCCCCCAAAGCCCCAGTAGATAGTTGTATGTCATAGTTGCACATCCTTCTAGTTGCTCTATGTGGGACACGGCCTCAGCATGGCCGGAGAAGCGGTGCATCGGTGCGCGCCCGGGATCCGAACCTGGGCCGCCAGTAGCAGAGCACGCACACTTAACCGCTAAGCCACGGGGCTGGCCCCATACTAGTTCTAAAAGTGATTAATCCACTACTGTTACTATATATTTACATTACCAGTGAGATTTATACTTTCATATGTTTTCTTGTTACTCATTAGTGCCCTTTCTTTGAAGCTTAAGAGATCCCTTGAACATTTCTTGTCAGGCCGGTTCAGTGGTAATGAACTCCTTTAGCTTTAGCTTGTCTGGAACACTGTTTATCTCTCCTTCAATTCTGAATGATAACTTTGCTGAGAAGAGTACTCTTGGAAGTTTTTTTCTTTAAGCACTTTCAATCTATCGTGCCAGTCCCTTCTGGCCTGTGAAGTTTCTGCTAAAATATATGCTGATAGTCTTATGGGGGTTCCCTTGTATGTAACAAGTTGTTTTTTCTCTTGCTGCTTTTAAGATTCTTTCCTTGTCTTTAACTTTTGACATTTTAATTATAATGTGTCTTGGTGTGGGTCTCTTTGGGTTCCTCTTATTTGGAACTCTCTAGGCTTCCTGGATCTGGGTGTCTGTTTCCTTCCCCAGGTTAGAGAAGTTTTCAGCCATTATTTCTTCAAATAAGTTTTCTGCACCTTTCTCTCTCTCTTCTCCTTCTGAGATCTCTGTAATGTGAATGTCAATCCTCTTGATGTTGTCCTATAAGTCCCTAAGGTTATCTTCACTTTTTTCCATTCCTTTTTTTTTTCTTGCTGCTCTGGGTGAATTCCACTGCCCTCTCTTTGAGTTCCCTGATCCTTTGTTCTGTTTCATCTAGTCTGCTCTTGAACCCCTCTAGTGTATTTTTCAGTTCAGTTATTGTATTCTTCAGCTCTATGAGCTGTATTTGGTACTTTCTTATATTTTCTGTCTCTTTGTTGAAGTTCTCACTGTGTTCATCCATTCTGAGTATGGTGAGCATCTATATGACCATTACTTTGAACTCATTATCAGGTAATTATTTATCTCCATTTCATTAAGGTTTTTTCCTGAGATTTTATCTTGTTCTTTCATTTGGAACATATTCCTTTGTTTCTTCATTTTGCTTGACTCTGTTGGTTTCTATGCTTAGATAAAACAGTAATCTCTCCCAGTCTCGAAGGAGTGGCCTCACGTAGATGAACCTTATTGTTCAACTCTGCCCTAGCCCTTGGTTGTCTCTCAAACCTTTGTGATTGTCTAAGCAGCCTATTTTATTTTTAGTGGCTCCTAGTAGTTGAGGGTGTACCAAGACCTGTCAGTCTCCCAAAGGGGAGAATCTCAGTCAACACCTAGATTCAGGCTGATTGGAGGCCAGACCCTCAGGCAACAATATTCCAAGTATGCAAATATATATACTTCTACGGAACTGCAAGCCTAAGCCCCACTGGCCCAAGTGCCAGATGATCTAGAGGTGTCCCCTGGGTGGCAGTTGCAAAATCCAGGGCTCCAGATGAGTATATAAACGCCTGTCTTAGAGATACCAGTAAGTTGTAGTAAGGCAGAGGGAGAGCACAAAGATGGCATGCAGCAGCCTACATTCCCTGAGAGCACACTCCTGCGTCCCTAGATATGTGCCAAAGCAGAAGCCTGCTCCTCAGCCTGAAGCTCCAAGACAAGCAAATAGGCCTCTTTCACAGAAAGACTGGGGTTGTGTTTTAGTCTGCTGTCTGTAAAGTGCCCTGGGGATGGTAGCTTGCTAACAACTCTCTCTCCAATTGTTAAAGTCCCATGGGACCCAGGAATGCAAGCCCACCCCAGCCATCAGAGCCAGGTGATCAAGGAGCATCCCTTGGGTGGCAGCTGCAAAGACGGGCACCAGAAGTAAAAACTGGGGTACCAGATGTGTTGTAAAAGCTTCCTTATGGGAGATAGTGGTGCTCTGGAGCATGGTAGAGGGGGGAGCGTGAAGATAGCACCCACCCTTCGAGGTCTCGAAGGATTACAGTCAGCCCTTAGATGTGTGTTTAATTAGACGTATGCTCCTCAGGCTGCAGCTACAATGATAAGCTAATAGGCCTCTGTCACAGAACAATTGAGCTCCTGAGTCTGTTGTCTCTTGCTGTGCCCTGGAGGTGGTAGCCATTTAAGAACTCTTTCTCCCGTGGTTACAGTCTTGTGGGACCCAGAAGTATAAGTCCTGCTGGCCACCAGAGCCAGTAGTAGTGTCCCCTGGTGGCAGCCACAAAAACTGAGGCACAGACGTGTGTAAAAGCTCCCCTCTAAGAGAGAAGGGCTCTCTGAAGCACAGCAGAGAGACAGTGTGAAGATGGTGCCCACTGGCTGGAGAGAGGCAGAGGGAAAGCATACAGATGGCACCTACCAGGAAAGAAAAAAGAAAAAGCCTAGAGTTCATTTAAAAAGAAAAGTGTCCAATGGCTAGAGCAAGGTGAAAGGAGAATGTGAAGATGGCACCTGCTGGGGGAAAAAAAACAAGATGGTGCCCTCCAGCTGGATCAAGGCAGAGGGAGTGTGCAAAGAGGGCACTCAGCAGTCTCTGTCCCCAGAGAGCGTCCCAGCAGGCCCCCAAATATGTGTCACATCAGATGCCTGCCCCAAAGACAAGCAAATGAGCATCTCCCACACAAAGTCCAGGCTCCCCTCCATAGGTCGCTTCCACGCTGGGCCATGAGGCAGGTCCGAGTCTGAGCAGGCAAGCCCTTTAAGAGCCTTTTCTCATATCACTATAGTCTCATGGATCTTGTTGATGTGAGCCTGTTGGTTTTGACGACTAGACATTTTGGGGGGTTGTCCTTCAGGTGCAGGTCTTAAAAGTTTGAGGTGCCCAATGTGGGGTTGGAACCCTTTGGTTTTCAGGGAGAAGTTCCAGGTTTTGAGTACCCTTCTAATTGGGTCACTGCACTGGAGGTGGGGTTTATGGCGAGATGGTGTCCCAGCGTCTCCTGTTCACTTCAACATTGGTCTTCTCTCATCGCCTGATGTGTAGGAGTCGCTCAGCCAGTTTTCAGGTTTTTTTCGGAGGAAGTGTTCCATATGTAGCTGTGGATTTGGTGTGTTCATGGGAGGAGGTGAGTTCAGGATCCTCTTACATCGCCATCTTGAACCAGACTATTCCCTGCAATTTTGATTTCCATCCTTACACAATCAGAAAGGTCAGAGAAGCCACTGCCCAGCTGCAGTAAACCCCTGGCCATAGGGCCCCAAGGCTTTGTGTTTGATCCTCCTGTTGATAAGCGGTTACTCTGGGACACTGCACAGGCCAGCTTCCCTGCTTTTCCTAGGCCTTGAGCCTTGGAATGAGAGGGTCCTGCAAACATTTGCTTGTTTCTCCATTCCAGAGTCTGTCCCACTGTGAGCTCATCACAGATGATGGGATCCTGCACCTGAGCAACAGCACCTGTGGCCACGAGAGGCTGCGGGTACTGGAATTGGACAACTGCCTCCTCATCACCGACGTGGCCCTGGAACACCTGGAGAACTGCCGTGGCCTGGAGCGCCTTGAGCTCTACGACTGCCAGCAGGTTACCCGCGCAGGCATCAAGCGGATGCGGGTAAGTGTGGGGCAGGAGTCAGTCACACCTGGCACAATTTCTGAACAGACGACGACTGCATCAAGAATCAGCATCTACTTTCTACATTCTGTTCTAAGCCAATAGTTATGCAAACTGATCTGTTACACAGGTGTCTCCTTAGACTTCTTCAAAATTTCCTTATTAGACCCCACTCTGGAAGAGTCAACATCCAGAATGGGTCTAGGGTGGAGGCTCCATGTAGTCTGGTGATCAGCACCCTTATGAGAAGGAAAGGGACTTAAGGTCATTACCAGTAGGAGCAAGAACATGGTCTTGGCTAATTTCCAGGTAAGAGGGCTTAATAGAATGTGGCTTTCTTTCCCCATGTAGTTCACCTACATCATTTTCTTGAATATGCTTTAAGTTTAGGCAACTTTGCATTTATACCCCAAAGCAGCCCAAGGGTGCTACAGCTGTCAAGAACTCCACTCAGTTTTCATACAAGGCCAGTGAGTTTCCCTGAGCAGAAATATTATTAGTTTCCCTTTGTCTTTAGAAGGTGCTGTTTTAGGGGACGTGTATGTAAACAGTAGTAACTCTGGCCTACACCAGAAATTCTATTTGAACTATTTGCCTAATAGTAAAGTGAAGTAGATTCTACATGAAAACTATGGGCCTTTCTCGGATTATGCATATAATCCTAAAAATACCAGTGTAAAGACTACTCCACTTTTTTCTTCTACTTTCAGGCTCAGCTCCCTCATGTCAAAGTCCATGCCTACTTCGCTCCTGTCACCCCACCGACAGCAGTAGGAGGAAGTGGACAGCGACTATGCAGGTGCTGTGTCATTCTCTGACAGCAGCTGCCCGGGGCCCAAGGCATGAGGAGGTGTCCCTTCCTCCAGAGAAGACCCACGTCTTCCTGACCTACTCCACTGTCACCCAAATCTGTTGATTCTTCATTGGGAAAGGCATTTACAGGTAAAAGACTTCTGTAGGGATTGCAGTAACTCTGGTGATAGTTTTCACCTTTATTCTGCTGTGATGCAATCAAATCAAAGCTTGTGTCAGTTGACACATGGCAAGGGTGGTCTCAGTGCAGCCAGGACCACACAGGAGACCCCGATCTTTTAAAAGGTGGGTGCCTTCCTAGGTACAAAAGTCCTGCCCTCGTCTTTGTCAGCATCCCTCAAGACAGACCATCAGTGTTAGCACAAATTGAGCAGAAAAAACAAGCTGTTGCTTTTCTACTTGATACTTAAGCCAGTGGCCTACTTTCACACCAATTCCATTTTGATTAGCAGGACTTTTCCACTTTGAAGATTAAACAGCAACTTTATCAAAGTGATTGTACTGCAAATTCATAATGCCTGATAGTTTTACATGTAGAGCTTTATGTGGAAGGCAAATAGGTTTCCATGAGACACCAAAGAAGCGAGCACTCTAAATTGGATGGAGCAGGGTCTTCACCTTTCTGTCAACTTGTCATATATACTTTCGGGGACCAAAAACTAAACAAAAGCAACTCAGAGTTGTGTTGCCTGACTGGAAATCATAAGCTCTGGAGTGTGCTACAGCACATAATGCATTTTCGTTATAGGAGAAAGCTAATCATGTCATCTCTCACAAAATTTGGGGGACCTTAAAGAAGTAGACCTGATTAAGGCTTAAATTATCTATAATATAATCAATTAAAAATAATGAATGGATGCATGTAGAATGGGTCTGATTGTTTTTCCAAGTTTATTTTAAAATCTTAGGAATCAGGTTACACCAGAACTATGTAAAAATTTTACACACTTAAAACTCAGATCAGTAAAGTGTTGGCACCTTTTAGACTCATAGTATAAAAATGAAGAAACCATTCCAATGCTTAAGTCACTGGGTTTTTATTGCTATGATCTTATGGCAGACAAATGTGAGCAAAACCATTTTTGAAATTCATACCATCCTAATATTATCTAAAATCTCATAAGATCTAGTTTCTGCTCTGTGCTGTTCACATTTGTGATCTGTATTAAGATTAGGAACCCATCCCCACCTTCACTGTGAATTTGTGTGTTAATGGTCGCCAACCCTTCCCAGCAACCACTCCCCAAACTGAGGAGTCCAGAGCTCATGAGAAGCTGAAGTGAAGCAGCAAAAACGAGATATTTTCCCATGACTAGCAATACTTCTATCAGATGGACAGTTTTAGAAGCATTTAGGATACACTGCCTCAGCTACATTTTAGGAACAGAAGGCAGATACGTACAAAACCCCATAAGTCGATTTAACAGGATTACTGGAATAAGCATTAAAAGTCCTGATGATTTTATTGCCTTATGATATACTCCAGTATTCCCTTGTCTAAAAATTGTGTGTAACCATAGCAGTTATTTAAATATACGTTTATACCACTGTGTGGAGGAAAAGATGATTGATGCAGGAAGCTGTTTAAATAAACAAAGGAGCATATTACACAGACTTGCTTCAGTGATTATGAATTGCAGTTTCTATTTAAAAATTTAAATGACCAGGGCCTTCCATTCATTATCTCTTTTGAGCCAGGACACAACCTATCACAGCTCCTGGACTGGCTGCTCAATGTTCCATAACCTCATTTACAAAACAGGAAAACCTCTGATAAAGAGGAAGCAAACCTGGTTTTCTTAAGTGTGGAACAGTTACTGGAATAAGTGTCCTTAGTTGCATCAGCTTTGAGAAAACAAACTGAAAAGAGAAAAAACACCACATGGGCTTCACGTCTTCTAACATTTGGACTGGTGTGTACTCAGAATATACATACAGAAAGAACCCCTTGATTGTATGACTTGACTTGTCACACTGGCACGAACTGGGATTTTAAATGAGAGACACATTTGCAAAACAATCGGAAAACATTTATTATACTGAAATGTATACATCCTACTATTAAAAAAACAAAGTAGCAAATTTGCTGGTGCCATAATTGAACCTGTTTCACTGGGACAGACTAATGTTCACCGCCACTTGGTGTAATTTCAAGTTTGATGAGCTTTTAATTCTTTTTACCCCACTTCTAAAACCTGATGAGGAATTCAAAATAGCACACAGCATTAAATGACATTTATTGTTCCATAAATCTTCAGACTCAAAAAGGAATGCTAAATAGACAAGCAAAACTCTAAAACAATTCAAGAGATAAGCTCACTTCTTTCCCAAGTGATTGGTACACAAAACATGTGGTCATACAAAAGCAAAGGGAAGATGACAGAAAGGAAAGCTCTCCTGCTTTAGGGTCTGTAGGAGTTACAGATACTTTCAAACTGAAGATGGAAATATTTAGAGACAGTGCTTCTTCATACCCCCTTTATGAATAAAGCAAAATGTCAAACGTTTACCCACTGAAGTAGTTTATCTTCTGGGAAAGATTTCAAACGCAAAATTACCCATTTCTGTTTTGCCTGAACAAAGATAAGGATCAAATCTGGGTAAGTGGACAGAGATGCTATAATTAAAATGGAATCAAAGTTTTAAAAAAAAAATTGAATTTGCTACACCACAACCCTCAAAAATGCTTGCTGATGAACTCTGGGAAGATTTGAAAAAGTGGATTCCCTTTGAAAAGTATGCTAGCAGACAAGCATTTGGTTTTATGAAAGAGACCCCCTTTTTATAGAAGAAGCAGCTATTACGTGATGTATAAAAAAGCCTCTAAATAATAACCAGAATGTTTACCCATGATTGTACTAAAGCTTAATATTTGAGAAGTGTATGGAATTTTTATGGTACAATTTAGTGTTTACCATGTCTAGTGTTCCGTGAATAATTTCAACTTGTTGATAACGAGGACCCCTTAACACCAAGTCAGAAACTTTTTCCCCTGCTCAGGTCACCTATTGCTGATGTCTGGGGAAGGGCTTTGAAACTGTTCAAGAACAGGATGGTGAAGGGTGGTTGGAGACAGAGAGGAGGAGGAAAAAGAGAAAGAAAACCACATGAGTTTAAAAGACAATGGGACTTCAAAAATGAAAACCAGAAACGAAATGCTAAAAATGGAAGCAGAAGCAAAAAGTTTTTCAATAAAATTATGACAAAGCAAAACACAAGTCTTTGTACCTATTAGGATTTACACTGATCCTCTCACCAAGGTACTCTTGATAATGCAGTTTGCTTCAAGCCCGGCTTCCTGGCTTGGATCTTCCTCGATCTGGCATGATCACATCAGACACACACCCTTAGACATGATTTCTTCTGAGAAGGTGCCAAGCCTCTTACCTGACCACCAATCACCGTATCAGCACATTGCATCTCTCCGCAGACAGATTCCATGCTGGCTCCACAACAGCACTGTCCCACACCCTGCCCCAGGTCAGCATAAGGTTCAGGCAACAAAAGCCAAACTGGCACAGAAAAGTAAATGCCCACAGTCCGCTTTTACATTCATTTCCAAACCGCATACAGTGTAAAAGACAGCAAAGGCTGCTTCTAGGAACTGTATCTACTGGCCTCTGCCAGAGAAGCAGGCAGCCCTGCCTGCACCGTGGCCCCCAGAGCTGCACGTATGCTGTCCGGACGTGCTCACTCTCAGGAGGATGCTTGGCTATGGCAGTGACAGTGAGGAGATTCGCCTCTCATACAGCTCATTAGAAAGGTCATCTTGTGTTTTCAATATGAAACATTTCATACGGTAAAATCCAATCCCAAGACTTCTTGGATTCAGTCTTCACACACTTTTAAGCGTGACTTTATTTGGTACTGAATATAGTTCAGACTATGTAAGACATCACTTCAAAATTATGTGAATACCATCACCATTTTCAGCTGCAAAAAAAGGAAAGAAGTTACCCACAATTTTTTTAGCCAGGCTTAGGAAGATCAAGACTATTAAAGTGAAAACTCCCAGACATCTACAACCTTCCTCCCTGTTTCAGAATTACCTTTCAATAAATCTAGAGGAAAAAAAAGCTGATTAACTTGCTCCAGTTCCCCTTCCCTAAGGCAACAACATGTACACATTCCCTTCTCAGATATTGTGCTTTTGGATGTCTGGCCCATACTAGTTGCCAGTTCTGGGAGGCAGGGGAATCAGACAAGCAGCGAAAGTGCTGTGTAAGCAAGGGGGCAAGAGCTCGAGGCAGAAGTGAAAACCCTGTGCCGCCAGGGCAGAGGACAGTCAGCTCCATACAACATACAAATAAACTCAATGCTCACATCCATCTTTCCTGGGAATAATTTTTGAACTCCTCAGAGGGAGATCTGAAACATTTTAAAAATACATCGCTACTTTTGCCTGATAGCCTAGTATTTCTGAAGAAATGGTGAGAAGCAGTACAGGCATTCATCAAGGAACAAATGAATTTTTTCATGAGGACAAAAGTCTGAAAAACAGTATACTGAGGTTGGAGGGGATATTCTGTGATGTCTGACATTAGACGTGTCCACCGCTTTCATAGAACACTACCATCTGATTACAGGATGGAAGTCCTTTCTTAGACAATGTGAATTTTGCAGAGTAACATTGTATTGCTTTGAGAACAATTGAGCAGAAAGGTACTCAGCTAAAGATGTTTGTGAAGGTAAAGATAAAGTGAACCGGTTCACAGTTAAAACTCAGGGGCCGGCCCGGTGGCGCAAGCGGTTAAGTACACGCGCACCGATGCACTGCTTGTCAAGCCACGCTGTGGCGGCATCCCACATAAAGTAGAGGAAGATGGGCACGGATGTTAGCCCAGGGCCAGTCTTCCTCAGCAAAAAAAGAGGAGGATTGGCAGATGTTAGCTCAGGGCTGATCTCCTCACACAAAAAAAATAAGTTAAAACTCAGCCTTGCAGGTAACTTGATGACATACGCAACATGTCAGGCACAAAGTGACGACAACTTCAGCACTGTTTTGGGCTGCTCCCTTTAAGAGTGACTTCCAGGAAAGGGTGACACATGATATCTGGCTCTTCGAAGTACAGCTTTTATGCTAGGACTAGATTTAGATCTTAACCCACCAGACTTTTAAAAGTCTCTTCTTGTATAATAATTTTGCATTTAAAAATCCCTCATTTTGGGGCTGGCCCCATGGCATAGCAGTTAAGTGCGCGCACTCCGCTACTGGCAGCCCGGGTTCAGATCCCAGGCGCGCACCGACGCACTGCTTGTCCGGCCATGCTGAGGCAGCGTCCCATATGTAGCAACTAGAAGGATGTGCAGCTATGACATACAACTATCTACTGGGGCTTTGGGGAGAAAAAGGGGGAAAAAAGGAGGAGGATTGGCAATAGATGTTAGCTCAGGGCCAGTCTTCCTCAGCAAAAAGAGGAAGACTGGCATGGATGTTAGCTCAGGGCTGATCTTCCTCACAAAAAAAAAAAAAAAAGTCCCTCGTTTTTTCTAACCCTTTAATTGGAACTTACTTGAGCCCCATCCATGTCCTCTTTCCACATTCTCTCCCTAAATGACCCCAGTGATTTCTACAGCTTTGAGTCACCACTGATATGATCAAGGCTTCCAAATTTACATTTCAAGCCCAGGCCTCTCCTGTCAGCTCCAGACAGGTATAATTAACTGCCACCTTGACACTGCTATATACTTAAATGGAACTCTTGCTGCTTCCCCCCATACCTACCTCTCTGCTAGCAGTCTGCCCAGCTGCTCTTACCAGAGTCACAACCACTCCTCCCTCAAGTGTGGAGCCCAGCAGGGCCCTGTCTATAAATGTATAAGATGTCATCACCCCTCACCTAGATGACATCTCCTGCCTCCAGGTTTCCCACCTTCTCATGTCTCCACAGAGTTGCAAGAGTGGAAGAAAAATCTAATCAGATTACTGCTTTATTTAAACAACTTCACTGACTTCCCAATATATTTCAAATAAAGTCTAAACTACCATCATTACCAGGTCCTGCATACCAGGCCCTGCCTCCCACCTTGACTTCATCTTGCTCTGCTCACCCCTCACACACTGCATGGCAGCTACATGGCCCTCTTTCAGGCCTCCACAGAAGCGAAGCTTTTTACTTGTCCTTTACCCTACATTTGGGATGCTCCTCATATGGCTGGCTCCCTCTCACTCTTGAAGTCTTATCATTAATGACACCACCTCAGAGAAGCCTTGCTAACAGCTTCATGTCCCCCTTGTCCATAAGCACTCCAGACTTTCCCATTCCTTCATGGCACTTAATATATTTGTAATTATGCACATCCGTTGGCCAAGTCTGGTTTGCTTTCCCCACTAGAGTCTGTTTTGTTCAAGATCTTTCTAGCACCAAAAGGATGGTATCTGACATATGGTGCTCAGTAAAACACTGGCTGAACGAATTGAGATTTTTTTCCTAGTCATCTAGAAGGACTTACTCCTCCTCCTTACTTGCTAATTTCTATTACAATCGCTAGAAATATTCTTTCTCTTGATTCATTTTTCAAACTCTCTTAAAATTAGTAAAGCCAGCATTTTCAAAAGTAAACACACAAGATGACTGCTGATTACAGACACACACTATCTTTCATGGTTCCAGCATTTCAAGACACATGCACACATGCAAAGTACCTTTTACTGTGGAGAATAAAAAACAACTCTCATCTTGAAAGTTCTGAACCATCTAGGATAAAGCAGATGTATAATTAAGATCCAACTGTCCTGTCTTAACTGAGGAAAAGATTAAAATTAGTAGTTAAAGGAAAATGTCATAATCTGTATATTGTCACACAAGCACAGGACTCAGTGGCCAAAATGGTAATTCATGAAGGCAGCGTGAGGTAGTAAAAATTTACACCTGCTGCACTGGCAGGGCCTTGTGCTAACCGTGCCTGCCCCTGAAGGTCCCTGCGAGATCTGATCCCTGATTCCTGCCGGCTCCTGTGAATAATCGCTCTAACAAAGAGTCACTGCGTGAAGTGCTCTTCTGTTATTACTTGCTTGTCACTCAGCACTAGGGGGAAAAACTGTACTTCTAATCTTATTGTTTTTTAAAATTAGTCATCAAATAGCGGACAAAAGGAAAACACATCCAAATACCTCTCTTCATAAAAAGGGCCAAAGCCCCCACTCACCCAGAAGTCTCCCAGTGAGTGTCTGAATTCACAAGGTGGGGGTGGGGGTGGGGGACCACAGTTCTCCCTGATTTGTATTCTTGTATCACTAGGATACCTGAAACTCTTGGTTATAAATTCTCACAAATTTTGATCCCCAAACTCTCTGAAAACAACTCTCATGAGTAGTTGGCAAAAGAGGTCACAGAATTTTTCCATAGGTCTGCAATGATATATATAAAAGTAAACACCAGTGTGAACGGGAAAAGCAAGAGGGCTTGCCAGTTCAAGTTACCTGATCGCTAACAAGAATGTGAATACCAATGGGACCCTGTCTGTAAACCTGGTTAATTTGGTGGAAAGGAATATTAAACACCAATGCAAGTTTTCGAGCGACTTCTGAGGCAACCATTTCTTCCAAGTAGATTGCATGATAAACTGAAATAAAAAATAAAAACAGCATTTTAGGAGTAATCTTCGATCTGTTTTCTACCTAATCTAAAGGAAGATCACACCTTTTAAAGTACTAAAAAAATAAAACACAAAAATAAAAATGGGAACAAACTGATATTTCTTTCCCCCTTATCACCCATCTGAACTACAATAATACATTAAGTATTTATGCTCACACATATATAATTTAATAACCAGTAACAATAATCTCTGTACAAAAGGATTTGAGGTTTTAATGTCTCTTAAAAACAAACAGGAATTGACTGCAAATGGGCACAGGGGATCTTTTTGGAGTAAGATTGTGGTCATGTCTGCAAGACTGTAAATTTACTAAAATATCACTGAATTGTATACTTATAATGGGAGGATTTTATGGTATATAAATTATACCTCAAGAAAGCTGTTTTCAAAAATGATATGTGTTTCTAGCAATATATAAAAAGAACCCTATAAGGGTCATAGTTTTTGATTCAGTAATCCTACTAGTCGGAATTTATCCTAAGAAATAAAAGCTACCTCTCTCCCCTCCGCCAGAGAATTAAAAACAGTGTAAAAGAGGGCCGGCCCCATGGCTTAGCGGTTAAGTGCTCACGCTCTGCTGCTGGCGGCCCGGGTTCAGATCCCGGGTGCACACCGATGCACCGGTTCTCCGGCCATGCTGAGGCCGCGTCCCACATGCAGCAACTAGAAGGATGTGCAGCTATGACATACAACTATCTACTGGGGCTTTGGGTGGAAAAAAATAAATTAATCAATCTAAAAAAAAAAAAAAACACACAAGCCAGTGTAAAAGAGGCCACAGGAAAAGCTATGGATGTGGACAATGAAGCCTAGTTCTTCTTTACAAAAAGTCCTAGTCCACCCATGTTCTGTGTTTCTGGAACATGTAACTTAGCAGCAGACGCTGTCTGCACAGCACCAGACTGTGCAGCTGCCGTGCGTCTGCCTCTGTCGCTCCCGCTCCCATACCGGTTCAGGCCTGACACCCATCAGGAGTATCAGTGCTGGAGCTTTGCTTCTCCAAACAAGGGTTTTTCCTTGTTGTGTTTATGAGTACAGAAACCTTTGCTAATTATACTTTATGAAAAGCTTAGAATTTAGAACTACAGTTAAAAATTATACAGATAATCTAGTGCAGGGGTCACCAAACTACAGCCTGTGCGGGCCAAACTCTGCCTTCCACTTATTCTTTTAAAATGAAATTTTGTCAGAACATGGCCACGCGCATCGTCTCAGATTGTCTATGGTGGCTGCAGCACTACACAGCAGAGCTGAGTGGGACGAGACCCGGCGGTCCGCAGAATCAGTGCGATTGACTACCTGGCCTTTCAGAGAAAAGGTCTGCTGCCTCTGATCTAGGGTTAAGTTCAGCAGTATTTCCACACACTCCTCCACAAACACTCACGTTTAAGGATACGCCTTCCAAAATATTTACAATCCTGACCACAGGTAAATGATACAGAAGATCTTGATGATACATGGAGAGCTCCTTTAGACTTTTTATCCTTTTAGACTAAGACTTTGTATCTTTAGTCTTAAAATTCACAGCTTTTGAAGTCAAAATGATACCAAATGGAAAGCTCACAACATGCTTTCCTTGGGATTCTGCCGTAAAATTCAAACAGCTAAGTATTTTTCAGCATTCTACCCATTATTAGGGCAAATAACTGCCTCTTTGAATTCCATAACACATTTTTCTCTGAAAAGTTCTGGGTTTGTTGCCCTTATTTTGTTTCAGAATGTGGGAAGAGGGAAGATATTTCCACACACCACCCTGCAAATGAGAAAATATATGCTGTAAAAAAATGCTTTGTTTTTTAAGGACCATATTTAGAGGAGGGGAGAAGGACCAGGATTTTTCTCTCTGCCCTAATCCAGCACTCTATCATACAATTACGGCAAACCTGCAGGATGAGAAGCCCTCCCAATTCTCAGGAGAGTAACGACATAGAGTATATTTACAACAACACAAGGACACGGCACCAACTCACCATAGAGAGCTCAGTGCTGGCCAGACGCTTGTCTGAGACAAGTGCACACACTTAGTCTTGTTACATCTTTGCACATGTGATATTTTAAGTTTATTCCCCATTCAGTAAAAAGGAAAAAAAGAAAAGAGAAACCCTCCTGATTTCTTGCCAAGGTGCAAATGTTACATTCATCACTTCAGTAAATATGAGATTAAAAAACAACAGCAGCAGCAAAACCCCAAAGCATTCAAGCTAGTCTTTCACTTGTTAGATATTTCTGGCATGAAGGACCATATAAAAAAGATCCATAGTGTGGCTGAAATAACCGAGAAAGGCCGACAGTTTCCTCTTCTTCCGAGGACTTGACCCAAGAGCAGCTGCCTCTCACTGCTGTCAGGACTCCTACATCAGCAACTGGGCAGTCCTGATCCAACAGGAGTCCTTCCAAGCCCTGCTCAGTCTTTCCCGTTTCTGCCTCAGTGTCAGAAAGGGAGTGACAGGAAGCTGAGGTGCCCTCGATACCCACCGTAAGGTGTCCCACTGCCATTCTCGCCTCCACTGCCTGCAGCCTGCTGCTGCCCCTGCAGTGGTGTGCTGCTTGGCTGCTCCTGGCAGACATAGATGGTTAGGCGGGGCCTAACCGACCTGCAATCAGAAGATGCCACTCATGAGCCTGGGAGAGAAAGCTGCCTCACCACATGTACAAATGATAACTACAGGAATCTAAGTTCTATTTCCTTATAAGAACTTTACAATGTTATTTTATTATAGAAAATAATTTACTAATAAAAATATAAAAACACACACCTCACACCAACTATCACAGGTGGTCTAATCTGATGATCCAGACTCTAAACCATTGAGATGGTCTGTCAGATGCTGGTAAATTTAAGTTTCAAGATTAAGTCAGCAATTTAAAATCAGTTAAGATTCAATTTTAATGGAATTCTCATACCACAAGTCTAGAAATAGCAATGATAGTAAATGGATCTTAAAAGCCAGCACAGTTTACGGTTCTATCATTTTAATTCACAATTAGAAGTTTACATTTTTAATAACTATTTAATAGTAGTCAAATGACCTTGAAAACCATAGATTCTGTATAGCTCACCTAAATGAGAAGTTTGTTTTCTTGGCAACAAACCCAGTCGTCTTCAAGAAATCAGTACTGCCCATGTGCATTTCTACCAGTCTTACAGTCTACCTCTGCCCTCATCAGTGCCTGCATCATATCTGGGCCTGCCCTGAAGGTGTACACAAAACAGTCTTCTTGTGAGCACGATGCTGCCGATGCTCGACAGCGCACACAGGCACACGCCAACCCAGCGTGGAAACACATTCTGCCCAAATTCCCCACACGAAGAAAGGTACATTCTTATTTCAAGCAAAACAGTTCCTTTTAAACACAGTATTTTACCTTGACTTCAGTGAATTATAGAGCCGAATTCCATCGGCTGCACCACATATTTGTACTAAATCCTCCTTTGTCAGTTTTAATAAGTCGGCACCTGGAGAACAGCAAAAAGAGATTCTTCTCAAAGAAATGGAAAAAGCTGGCTACTTTATGGTATTTGTCTTCAGACAGTTAAATGTCCTTCAAACTATCACAGGTATCCTGAGTATACACATAAACATGAACAACACAAGAACACACACACACAACCCTGTCCCTCAGAACCAAAGAAAATGCTGGCCCTTCCGTGTCCCAAATCAAGAAGGAGCTTAGAAGCCCCAGAAGCTGGTAAAGCAGATCAATGCGCGGGGCCTATAGGACTGTCTGTTCCTAATACAGGAAGGAGTTCACCGCCTACCTTATTTTGGCTGGGTGGTGGCTATGTGGATAAACATGATAATTAAACTTGAGATCACCCAGACCAATCTTTTGTTTTACAAAAAGAGGAAATGGAAATCCAGAGTTTGGGGGACTTGCTCCAAGTCATACAAGTTGGTAACAGAGCCAGGAGTAGGCCTCTTTATACTGCAACACGCAGTGTAAAGTCAAACATTCTGGAACATAACAACCCTGTCACAGCAGCCAGTTTTAATACAAAAGCATGGCAGAGAATTGCACGTTACACCTTAAGATTTCTCCCATAAATACTTGGTAAATGTAAATGACATGGTATCTAGGATTTGCTTTAAAATACAACAGAAAAGGGGGAGAGGGTAGAGAGCAAGACTGACCAAAGGCTGGTCATTTTTGAAGCTAGGATGGTTTCATGGGAGTTCATCGTAGTCTTCTCTCTACTTTTTGTTTGATTTGTCCATAATCTTTTGTTTCTCCCTTTTATTAATACTCAAGATGTAGTTTAATTGGGAGAATTAACATACTCTCTGGGATTAAGGCATGACTTGCATATGATAAATATCTACTTACATACAACAAAATAATGGGGTTATCTATTTTTGAGGGCTTGAATGTGAGAGCCTAATAACTTTCTAGTTTTTAAGAGAAATAAAGAACAAAGAAGCACATCTCCCACAAGGCACAAGCACTGATGGAGTGGTTTTATGCAAATCAGGTAAGCAAAGACAGGCACACTCTCATCTCTCTACCAGCGCCTAGTACACGCACCTCTGAAAACAGGGCTCACAGCTGTGACCAGAAGTGTGTGTGTGAACATCCTTAACCCATACACAGAACTGGACAGATACTTATGTGTACAACCCTTTCTGAAATGTGAATGCCCAAGAGGCTCAGGTCAAGAAGCCTCACTCTCCTCTTCACCATTCTATTGTTGGGAAGCTTACAGGGTAAGGAAAAGGCAGGAGGCCAAGCCATATGATCAATGCTCACAGTGAAAAGGGCTTAGAACCCTCCAGACGAAAAACATGGATCCATCTAATATACCAGGCATAATCTGGGACCTCCCTCAGTGCCAACTGTCAGAGCTTTCTGTATGTGCTATGCTCTGCATCTGTCTTTCCTATGAGGGTTCAATATGTGTGTGTGCCCCGCAAGTGACATTTCTTAATTCCTAGTTTTTCACAGATAAAAGGCTTTACTTAATCATATAAAAATGTGGCTACCAGCTAGCAAATGACTTTCATTGGCTACTTTAATTTTACAGAGACAAAGAGCTACAGAGGGAATGACTAATCATTGCACAAACCCTACAATAAATGGCTGACGTAATAGGACACCATGTTCTTTGTGAAATCAAGCTTTCCTCTAGGCCAAGTATATGCACACATATGTTCTTAAAAGGCTCAGGCTGGGTTTTTATAGCCCCACGGCACTGTGGGCAAAGCAAAACTGACTGCCACTTCACTGTGGCCCAGAGTTTCTCAGGATGTTTAGCCAGGACATGTTAGTAAGCTTTCTGTAGGAAAAGGGTCCCAGGGCCAAATACGTTTGGGAAATGCTGCCCCTGCCCCACATGGTGTTATCTATTACTGTCCCTCTAGATAGGTTCCCTACAGCACCATTTGGAGAAACACTGCTTGGTCCCTTTTAAAATTCCATCTTAATATTCCCTTAGTTTACCATGCAAGAAAAAATTCACACTTAAGTATATAAAAACCACACCAGAGGACATTCATACCATGTAATACTACACTGCAATAAAGAGGAACAAACTATTGATACACACAACTATGTGGATGGACTGAAGGGCATTATGCTGAACGAGAAGAAGCCAATCTCAAAAGGTCACAAACTATATATGCTTCCATTTATATAACATTCTTGAAATGACCATATCATAGAGACGGAAAACAGATTAATAGTTGCCAGGGATTAGGGATGGTTGGGGAGGATGTGGGCAGCATAAGGGAGATCCTTGTGGTGATGGCACAATTCTGTACCTTAACTTCAGCAGTGGCTGTATGAATCTACATAGGTGATAAAATGACAACTATATACACACATTGCACCAATGTCAATTTCCTGGTTTTGATATTGTACTATAATTATGTAAGAAACTGAGTGAAGAGGATATTGGAACATTTCTGTACTATCTTTGCAACTTAAAGTAAAAATTATCTCAAAATAAAAAGTTAATTAAAAAAATGAAAAAAATTGCATAGAACTATATACACCTATACACAAATGAGGGCACATAAAACTGGTGAAATGGTTAGATTGTACTGATGTCCATTTCCTGGTTTTGATAGTGTACAATAGGTATGCAAGATGTTACCACTGAGGGAAACTGGGTGATAGGTACACAGGACTTTCCTGTACACATTTTGGCAACTTTTTTTTTTATGAATCTATAATTATTTTGAAATTTAAAAATAAATTAAAGTTAATAAAAGCACAGAGATAAGTAAAGCATGCACGTGCACACACACACAAACATACCTGAAAAATTGGAAAACAGTCTTGTGTAGGAAGAGAATCTGTTTTTGAGCAGCCATTGTTGTGTTTCCTGGATCGTGGCTGAAGGCTGAAGTTTCTATTAACAAAGAAAATGAATATAAATAGAAGAAACTCTTGAAACTTAAAAAATATAATCCAAGTCACTGGCATGTTACAAAATAGAACATTTAAACAAAACACAGAAATCCTCCAAGTTTAAAGTCAAAATCACCCAAGAATAGCACAGGTCTGACTATTTAGTGCCCCAAACAATGACTCAAGCCCCTGTCATCAGAGGCTTAAAAATGCAGGACCCTGAAAGCATCTGCTAGTTTTAGGAAAAAGATACTTACTTCACTAGACGCCTGTGAAACTCCATCTCCCTGATGATTTGGGGAAGAAGAATTGCTGGAGAGAAGGAAAGCAAGGATGATTACTAGGATATATATTTTTTAAGACATTAAAGGCTATTAAACTACGTAAATGTAAAATAATACTGTGGGACACAGCAATGTAAATTTGCAATAAGAACACTGGCACAACTGGTCAGCGAGTGAATATGATAAGAAGGTGAATGCAGTTTCTTAATTTGTGCCTCCTCCTTCTATACCTGTTCTAGTAAGAAATTCAAGTTTTATGAAACAGAAGGGTTCCAAATATCTCCAGGGGTGCTAGGAAAATGGAAGATACTGATTCATTTGAGTTAGGAAAAAAATGAGAAACCAAATAAGACAAACAGTTGAAAATAACTGCAAAAACATCTACTTTAAGAAAATAATGAACTACAAGAAATGGTATAATGATCCTAACCCAAAATAGAAAATGATATCCCTTTAATACATTTATCCATGACTCAAGAGGGTAGAATTCAAGACAACAAAAGAAACAAACTTGTACCACTATCCTAGTGTTCCTAAGGTAAAATGAAAATGAAAAACAACTCCTCAGGAATGTGGCCACCTTCCTGGTCCTGAGCTCTGACTCCTTTCTTAGCACTTGTAACCTCAATTACTTAGGTTTATTATGTTGTTTACCATCCGTCTCCAGCCACCAGAACTTAAGCTCCTTTGGACAGGGATTTGTCTGTCACTTACCATTTTTTTTTTGTGGAAGATCAGCCCTGAGCTAACATCCGATGCCAATCCTCCTCTTTCTGCTGAGAAAGACTGGCCCTGGGCTAACATCTGTGCCCATCTTCCTCTACTTTACATGCGACACCGCCACAGCATGGCTTGACAAGTGGTGCATCGGTGTGCACCAGAGATCCGAACCTGCGAACCCTGGGCTACCGCAGGGGAGCATGCACACTTAACCACTGTGCCACTGGGCCGGCCATGTCTGTCACTTACATATCACAGCACCTAGAATAGTGCTGGGCACACCATGGGCTCTCAGGAAATATCAGGTCAACTAGTGACTACATGAATTCACAGCTCATCTCTAAAATCATAATCAATTATTAGGATTATTCAGATTGGACTGACTGTGAAACTAGAAGAGTTCCCCTACATAATAATACGCTGGGCTCCTTCTCTCCTGTGTCTCTGTATCTAACAGTGTTTTTCTACTCTAAAGCACAGTAACCTACATGAAAACAAGCTGCCTCTGTAGTCTGTCCATCTCCTCAGGGAAAAAGCATGTTTTTGTTTGTTTTCTCATGAGTGTTTGTGTTGCCTCAAAACTCACACATTGAAACCTTACCCCCCAATGTAATATACAGCATTAGGAGGTGGGGCCTTTGGGAGGTAATGATCATTAAATGAGGTCATAAGGGTGGAGCCCCCAGGAATGGGATTAGTGGCTTTCTAAGAGTCGAGAGAGGTTGCTTCCTCTGCTCTCCTCTTCACCATGTGAGGATACAAGTCGGCAGTCTGCAACCTGTAAGAGATTGCTCACCAGAACCTGACCATGCTGGCACCCTGATCTCAGACCTCCAGCCTGCAGAACTGTGAGAAACAAACTTCTGTTGTTTATAAGCCACCCAGTCTGTGGTATTCTGTTACAGCAGCCTGAGCTGACTAAGAAAGACCTTGTCAGCATGACTAGAGTATAAAAAAGATCTGACCTACTCCACATTAGTTCTTCAGCAAAGCCCCAGGCATGGAGCGCTCCCCCGTGGCACCACTGCAGCATCTTCATGATGCCCGAGACGCCTCTCCTGCTCCCACCCGGGGCTCACTAGATTCTCAGTTGCCAGTCAAGGCCAGATAACAGAATAAAACAAAGTCCACCATTCCCATTTCTAAAACCATAGTAAGTCTTTAGAAATTGAAAACCTTCACGTTTAAAGACTTAATTAAAAAAAAATAGTGTGTCTGTTGGGAGGGAGAATAGGGCAGAAAATAACTCTGATATGGTGAGCATTAAAGACAAGTGTACTTTGTCATAAATGCAATCTCACATATTCAAGTCTCAGTGTCACCTTAATAACTCACTGGCCTCTCTCTATTCATGAAGGCCATTAATGCTGTTTTCATCTCACAAAGAATGTATCTTGAAAATGCCTCCTTTTCTACAATTTCCATAGTTGTGAATGTGTGAGAAATAAGGGGCTAGGAGCAAAAAGGCTGGTGGGTGAAGAAAAGATAATTTTCCTCTGAAAATGAGGTACAGGCTATTTCCCATTACTATATACTTCAGATTAAAAAAAAAAAAAAAAAGTTGCTGTAAATTGAGAGAAATGGAAAGGAAGGAGCATGAGCCTCAGGCACATAATTACACAAACCAGATACCTGTCTGGGACACTGCAAGTGCTCTGCTGTGGGGAGGTGAAAGTGGGCGCTGCAGAAGGACTGCTATTCACATAGGCTGTGGGAGTATCGGGCCATGGAGAACACTAAGGATAGAAACAAAAATAAATTAATGATATGTTTCTAAAGTATGTGGAAGAAATATTCTTGTAATTCACTCTCTAGTCTGGCCAAATGCAAGATTATAAAACACAAGACACCTGACACTCATCAAGCAAACTCACAGAAACATATCAAATCTACTTCTGTGCAGCAAGGAAAAATTTTACCTGCTATATGCGTCTAGATACTGATTAATCTTAGGGAAGACCTGAAGTGATGATAGCAGCAAAAATTTATAAAGGCATCTTAAATATATACTCATGTACAATTTGCTTTCCAGAACTTTCACCTCCCTCTTTATCAATTCCCCAATAGGTACTTATCTAGATTTAAGAATAGCAGAGGCAAGACAAGATTCATAAGCAACATCTGACGTTGCATGGTGACCAGGACAGGGGCTGTGTCCTACCTAGTGCTCTTTCTGTCCTCTTCTCCAAGGAGCAGTCTCACCAGTACCTATTTGCTTCCTTGATTTCTCTAAGATTAATAATCGCCAAGTAAGACAAGACAGGCCCAGCATCAAAATACATCAACTGTGTATGGTACTGCCTATACCTATCTACATATGTTTATTATTTATATTTTCTGGAAGGGGCATGGTGAACTTAAATATTTTTCAGCCCTCGGCACAATTCTGAGGAAAAATAGAGCAAAAATACAAAGACACATTGGCTGTCAATTAGGAGAGCTGAAAAAGGTAGTCAAAAACATGCTGAGCAGGCCCGAGAGGCCTCAAGTAGACGTCTTCAAACACAAGGTATTGAGGGACTCCATATCACTCCACAGGTGTTCTTTCTAAAATGAATCTGTCTCAGAATGCCCTCAGTTTCCAGGGTTCCCTTTCATAATCAATCTTCTTCCATTTTATACAAAAAAGGCATCATCTCTCACCACGGCCATGAGGTAGAAGACTCTGCCAGAAACTAAGCAAAAGGCCATTCAAAGTTATCAGGACAGATACTAAGAAAGTACATGACTCTAAAAAAAATTCTTCTGCATATCAAGGGGTTTTCACTTCCTCGCTTTCAAAAAAATTCAGGAGAACCTATTGCCAGCTGACACATAACTGAAATAATCTCCTAGATCATATAAAAATAGATCACTGGGATTTGTGGCAGATAACTCAAAAGGAGTTCCAAGACCTGAATGCCACTGCTGAAAGAAAAATAAATCTATCTAAACTAAGTTTCTCTTATCTATAAAAAAAATTTAGAACTTAATTATGTTTCATTGTCTCATCATTCAAGATGTATTTCCAATAACATTTCTGTTTTTACATTTAACAATTATGCATCAAAAATTTGTATGATTTGTTGTTTAGATAAGCCAGTACCAATAATAATAAGTTTTAAATTTCTCAACTGACTTAGCCTTATGGTCACAGGAAATTTTAAAAATTAAATTTCAATTTATAAAAGTTTGTTGTCAAGAAGTAATTAGGGTGATCATGAAAAGATTTTCAGGCATAAAAGTATGTCATATTAGGAAAAAATTATTTAAGGGGAATGGAGGAGAAAACAGGAGATCAAGAAGGAAGAGCAGGGGGCCAGCCCAGTGGCGTAGTGGTTAAGTTCGCACACTCCACTTTGGCGTCCCGGGGTTCGCGAGTTCGGATCCCTGGCATGGACCTACGCACAGCTCATCAAGCCATGCTGTGGCAATCGTCCCACATATAAAGTAGGAGAAGATGAACATGGATATTAGCCCAGGGCCAATCTTCCTCAGCAAAAACAGGAGGATTGACAACAGATGTTAGCTCAGGGCTAACCTTCTTCACCAAAAAAAAAAAAAAAAAAAAAAAAACAAGGAAGAATAGAGTAAAATTTCAGACTTCACTAAAGAGCTTGATCATGAACTTTTTAAATGAACAATGCTGGGTGTCACATTGCTATGGTATTTAGATTCTAGAGGATACAATTCAAAAGTAATGTAACAGTTTTATCTTAAATTGTAAATACAAATATTCACTATGCCAGAAAATTGTCTCCTTTGCACCCCTTTAAATTTATGATGAAAACTTTCAGATGTCGACCTAAAAATGTGTAAGGGAGTATATTCTTTTTAAAAATTCTTTCCAGTGTAAAAGTGTCAAGACCACTAGTGTGAAGGAGCTAAGAGACTGAAGCACTCTGAGGAAAGAAACCAAGTGTCTCCAATGGTTACAGGAGCTTAAAACGACATGTCTGATGCCTGTAAAAAGCACGGATACAAAGAAAATAAAACAGAAATCCCAGAATCTTAACATTCTTTACAACTACCCATTATGTATCTTCTCAAAAATGGGGAAAATGACTGCAGACTTGATGTTTCAACTACTGTCAACTGTCCAAAAAGAAATCTAATCTGGCTGGACAGCATTGCTAAACTTATTGCATGGCATACCAATTTCATTATAAATGACATTTTACACAATACCCATTCTTTTTAAACTAGGGTCTTTCTGTCTTAGAAAGTAGTACCTCCTCAGCTTACACAGTTTGAGGAACCAAGACCTGGTGAGCCAACTGATAACAACATACAGGTGTCACATGCTCACGGTCATCTCTACTACCTGGAAGATTTTCCTGCTAACACCATCCTTCCCAGATACAAAATATTACAACGTAGCATAACACACACATCTAAATAATGCAAACCTTTTAATATTAAGTCTCTGCAAATTTGCTTTGGCAATTACTGCCAGCTGTTTGAGGAAACGAAGCCATCAAAAAGCTTCAAGTTACAATGGCAGAGTAATATGGCGGAGACACCAAATTTACTGAAACTCCATAAACATACCTACTTCACTTTTCCACATCTAGATTCCTTTAACAGTAGAAAAGGACTTTATAGGTGACATCTAAAACTTGCCCAGTAAATATGAGACTCGATTCACTGAACACTAAAAAACTAGTGTTCAGTGAAAACTGGTCCTGTTGGGAGGCCTCTACTTTTAGAAAATAATGGATTCCAAGTTCTTAAATGGCCAAGCTGAAGGAAACACCAAGAGGTGCCTACCTGTGTTTTATAGGTTTCTCTTGCAGTCTCAACCGAGGAGGATAAAGGCATACCTAGGAATATTTTCAGTGTTTCTGCTACCTTGTCCCTCTTCCATGTCTTTAGAAGTAAGCAATGGTGCAGTGCCTACATTTCTGAAGACAATCTGTAATTCACTAAGGTTCCAGCAATACCTGGCCTGGACTCATACAATCATGGGTTTGGTATCCTGTGAACAAAGTCCCTCCTCTGGTAGATTAGAAAATGATGACCCATCTTAGACTGTAGAAACTGGCAGCCCTGATTTGAGCCAATAAAAGAGAGCTCAGAGGCACACAAAGGGTTTTGTTGTGCAGCACCTCTTAGGAACCAACAGTAGTGCCTCTACTCAGTGTGGGACCATTTCACACAGCACCTTTGAACTTTAACAGATAAGTCTGGATATCGCTTTCCACTGAAAGCCAATTTTAATTATCTGAGAACAGAAAGAAATGCTGGCCTGCCTTCGTAGGCACTTGAAGAAATATATGAAATGCTGTGGACTTTACTTTTTAAGGGATTAATCTGTACCTTGCTTTTTTTAAACAGGTTTCCAGGAGGAGCTCTAACCACCCCTAGAAGTATCTTAACCAAACCAAATGCAGCCCGGGGCAGCAGGCAACACGCAATAGGAAGATGTGAAATCCCAGGCCAGTGAACTGCTGATGTTTTGCATACTTTAGACTTAAGAATTATTAATAATTTACTAACGATTCTACTATCTTCAGAGTAGCCCTGGGCTATAACAGATTTCTTTATGAATTATCAGAACCCGTTCCTTTTAATTAGTTTATAACAAGAGAAGAAAAGTGATTTCAGTTACCAGGGTCTCCCCAAAGAAGTTTACTAAGAACCATTTCTGAGTCTTCAGCTGGGAAATCAGAAGAGGAATAAAAACATAAAATTGAGGGGCAGGTGTTTTGGGGAAGGAGTATCCAGTTGTTCCATACAACCTTGATTTCAATCAAAAAAGCCCAGTTAAAGAAAATGCAACATGTGTGCTCCCCATTCACTCAGATGAGTACATTTTCAGTTTTATTGCATAGAGAAGCATTTAAAATATTTTCACTCAATGCTTTAATTTGGAAATGAGGTTCCTGTGATAGCATTTATGACTTTCATAGTCTATAGATAATTACAGATACATGTATAAGAATGAGAATTCTATTTCTGGCACCTTGATAGTACAAATACTTCAATGATGAATAAAGTACCCATTAATACATATGATAACAGTTATTTAAAAAAATTATTTAATGCTCTGTGTTTACATTTACTGCAGGTATACAGCTGATCTAAGTTTATATAACAGGATTAACCTTTGCAGACTCTTAGATGAAGAGTTGTGCCATAAAACAAAGATTTGCTAAACTTAAGCTGACAAAGCTCATATTCAACCAAAAATCCCCCAAGTGCACGCTGGGGGGAACTAGGTGTGAGTATAGCAAGGTGCACTATTCTGGCCTGAAGCATAAGGTCACAACAATGCAGGTGCCAAGAGGAAACACTAATGCAGTCAAAGACTTTTTTTCCTACCAGTGCTGCCAAACAGGCTTTTAAAAGCACAGACAGACACACATTCTTATACTACATGCAGGGAGATGTGACACAAAGTATACTGCGTACGTTAATGTCAAGCTTGCTGCCATCATTTCTCTAAATATCCATGAAATTTTCTTAGCAGTTATACATGAGAAAGCAAAACCTTTTTTAATTACAGAAAAATGATAACTATTTTACTAAAGAAAGTATTTTCAATTAATTTCAGTGCTCTTGAAAGAAGTGTGTGTGAAGGAGAGGGAGGGAGGGAGGAAGGGAAAGAGACAGAGAGGGAACACATTTCTAAGTGTCGTTTTTCCCTCCAAAACCACCCATATGGTCAACTTGGTTTTAAAGTGTTAGATTTAGGAAATTTTCCTCAGTGAGGAACAAACAGAAAGCAGGAAGTCTAAACAACAGCAAATTAAATCAAGACAAGGACATCAAAAACAAATTTGGCGTTACTTTTCGGTGGAAGTTGGTCCTATATCTAACACTGCACAAGGTTTCTTGCACAATGAAAAGAGAAGCAGAAGTCCCTTACACTGCCTCGCTTTGCCAGAGAATCACCGTAGTCTGCTGGCAAAGTCCGCTTGCTGGACTTTTTCTGCTCATGTTCAACTGCATCTTCAATTATAGGCTCAAGCCTCATCTGGACAAACACCAAAGATTGGGATCAATGTCTTTTCATTATACAAAGAAAGATCTAATACCCTGCTTTATGTCTCTGCAGTCCACTTAAACAAATGCATGACTAGCAGGATTCAAAATTAAAGAAAATGCAAAACCCCAGCAGTGACAAAAATTGGACATTCTAGGCCCCGACTTAATCTCTTGCTAACTTCAAGGTTTTTAAGGTCTTTTTCTGAGACCTGATTGGGATTTCAACATCTTCATTCAAGATCCCACCCAGGAAACTAATCCATTAAAATCCCAAAATTTAAATAAAATGTTTTCCCCACAAATTTCACAAAGAACATTATGTCAGTCTACCACCCAATCTTCCCCAACCCCTTTGTAGCAAAACTCATCCTTAGAGATAGTGCTAATATGCAAACATCTGCTTCTCTTCAGAAACCAACATGCCACTCTGCATTACCTCTGTGAGGATCGTGGTATCATAGGATGGCTGATACTTTTCTTTTTCATGAGCAGTTCTCTTCTCCATCTTCTCTCGGTCAGTTTTTTGTTTCCTGTCTGCACCTTTAGGCTTAAATACAAAGTAGATTATTTCATCCATCAGGCTTCAGACAAACAACTTTATAAGCATAACTGGGCCTTAATTACTGAAAGCCTAGTTTCCATCGTTTACCTTAAAAACCTTGATTTGGCAGCTAGCTGAGTGTAGATGGTCTGTATATTCTCCATTTTCATTCTGCTTAAAAGTGTCAACCTGGATCCTAAAAGGCACTCCCTTTTCACCTCCGTGCTTCCGTGGAGTAAACTCTGTGCTGATGCAGTGTACCTAGAAAACAAGTCAAGCTGAAATGGATTCCAAGTACTGTCCACTGATTGCCCTTCTACTTTGTTCCTTCTTGGATGTCCTGCTAGAGCTATAAATTCAAGATCCTCTAAAACAAACTCCTACATATTAGCCAGATATCTGTCATGACTTTCTGATTTTTTTTAATATATGGCTTTCTTTTCACAAATCCAACTGAGCCTTTCTGAACATTTTGGGAATGAGCTCTTCCCCATCCAGTGCCTCTCCTCTAACGCAGGACTTGCTCTGATTACCAGTACAACTAGCTTCCTGTGTACTCCCTCTACCTCCACTCCAGACCTTTTGCTGCTCTCAGACCCAGGGTCCTAAACCTTGCACATGGCTCAATCCACAGCAGTCCTCACCTCATCATTCAGAGCTTCCACTGTTTGCCCTCTACCGCCATCACCCCAGCTCTAGCCAGCCGATCATCTTACTGCTGTTCCCACATACATCAACTTGTGATGCTTTGCCTGGGGAACTTTCACAGTCCAGAAAGCCTCATCCTACCTGTATCCATCTAAACTCTTCTGTCAACCCTTCAAAGTTCACTGAGGATCCTGAGGATAATACTCATCTTCCACCATTTCTGCCCCCTCTCCCAATACTACCACAACGACAGCTTTAGGGTACTGCACGGGGTTAGTAACAAGACTTTGGTAATTACTAACTGCTACACATCTCCTCTTCTAATGGCTCAAAGTTAAAACTGATCTCTGCAGTATGACTGCACAACCTGAGATTTAAGGCTAGTGCTTACAATGCTTTCATTCACTATCTAGTTACCCTGTTAGACAAACACTATGAGAAAATATTCCACAATATGAACCATGTCCCTAGTGATTGTGAGTGGACTGGTAGACCACAAAAATGCAAAACACCAAAGATTCCTTACAGTTCACACAAACTAGAGCCAACTTAGGCTGGTCAGCAACTAAGTGCTTTTCCTTTGCTACATAAAGATGACCTACTCAGGAGTTTTAATTCGATCACTTACAAATTTGAACATACTGGGTATTAGAATTACTGTTGATTTTATTTTACATATAATAATATATTTTTTAAAAAATTCATCTCAGGGCTGGCCCAGTGGTGCAAGCGGTTAAGTGCGCACGCTCCGCTGCAGTGGCCTGGGGTTCGCCGGTTCAGATCCCAGATGCGCACCGACGCACCGCTTGGCAAACCATGCTGTGGCGGCGTCCCATATAAAGTGGAGAAAGATGGGCACAGATGTTAGCCCAGGGCCAGTCTTCCTCAGCACAAATAAAAAAAAAAAAAGAGGAAGACTGGCAGATGTTAGCACAGGGCTGATCTTCCTCACCAAAAAAAAAAAAAAAAAATTCATCTCTTAGAGATATAAACTGAGTATTTATGGGTGAAATGAAATGCCTGGGAGTTACTTTCAAGTATTCCATCAATAAGTTAAAAAGGGGAAACTACTACTAACTGTTGAAGCCAGGTGATGGGCACACAGAGGAGTCATTATTGTTATTCACTTACTTTTGTGGGGTTTGAAAATTTCTGGTATTACAATGTTTTTAAATAATGCTGAGAGAATCTTAAAACTGTACACTTTTTTCAACCAATCCATTTAAATAGCAGCTTTCGTTCAAGAAAAATGCATCTTATGAAAAACTGAAGATTTATTGTTACTATCAGTGGTAAAAGTAACATTTAAATAATGCTTTACATATCAGACTGTCTGTATACATGTTAGTTTATAAATGATGGATTTAGTCGATTAACTCCAATTTAATAGTGTATATATATTTCTTAAAAAGACGTTACAATATAGTTTACAAATAAGCATTTAAAGAAAAAGATATCGTGCATCAAGAATTCAGTCTCATCCATGGCCTTCTAAAGAACTAGGCTAGTATGCTTCTAATAACGTAAAAATCCAAACCTGAATGAAAGCAGATGTGCGTTTTGCAGGGTCCCACAGAAATTCAACTGCATTTAACTGGCTTGGATTTGTCCTTGTGTCAATTATTCCCACAGACATTGGAATATCTATATTTTAAAAAGAAGTTACACAGAAACTCATCCACTGTAATTAAAAAGCTTACAACTTACTATAATTATGTCCTAATGAAATTATTATATCTCCATGCTGAATTTTTTCCTCCAGTGTTTTCCATGGTCAACCACTTCAACACCAAGTTGAGGTGTGGAAACCCACCTAATGCATATCATACTTTCTCCCACCACGGTTTCTATTTCATTTTATTAAGAATATGATGGATGGTGCCAATCACGAATTAAATAAATGGTTTCAAATTCATAAAATTCTTGGCTCAAGTTCTTTTAGCACCAAAAAATGACTTCATTTTTAACTATAAAACAATTCAAGGCACACAGGATCCGCTAACACCAAAACTCTCTCCACACAATTACACGTGGTGCCAACATATCAATGGGTACAGCTAAACAACGGCCTTCCTCTCTCCATGGTCTTCTGACGGCCACTTGTACCTAAATCGAGAAGTCTGTCTCCTGGGCGATTCCACTTCCAACCTTCAAGTTGCTGATGCTCTGTATACTGTAGCCGTCTGTCATGGAATACCACTCTTATGATGCTCTATGGAATAAGTGGGGAAAATAAGTACTTTTAAACTGTTCCAGCTAAAATGCAGAAGCATTTTCATTTCTTATGCATTAACCTATAATAGAAGAGTATACGAAAACTAACTCTGCTTTAAACATTTTGTAAGTGAACTGTTTTGCTCTTGGATACCTGGATTATGGGTATAATTATTTGGTGCAAAGAATTATAACTCAAAAATAAAAAGCACAAATAAAATGGTTTAGTAAAATTTTTATTTAAAAATTTGATACTGAAGTTCAAAATTAAGGTACATGCCCATAAAATTAGTGAGCAAGAATTACTTTTCTATGAAGAAACCATCAGATGCACACAGGAATTACTAAAATGAAAAGGTAGTATAAACTCAGAGAAACAGAGAAACCTAGGCATAATGGTAAACGTATTAATTTAAAATAATAGTTGATAATTGAGTTTCTTTAGAAAGACAGTCAAGGGGGGAGATCTGCCCATCCCTCAAAAAAGTAAACCGACATGCAAAATTCATTCTCAACTATTTAACCTGCAAGTGAGGTTATCTGAGGTAAGAAAAAAAAAACCACCAGATAAACTTTATCCAAACACTCAGGTCCCTAGGGAAGGCTTTAACTCTACAAACTTTAGACCAATTCTCTGCTCTCCATCCATCCCTCCTTCACCTCCCACAGGTTTGGGGTGCCAACTACTGTTTCATTCTAGGAATGGATAACAGGTCATCAAAATGCATTCAGATACCAGATTTGCACTAATTAGTGTGTCTGACATATTTACAAATAATTATTTCTCAGACTATGATGTAGTAAGATAATCAGATTTCCAGTAAACGCTCTGCTGGTTTGAACAGGAAACAATTTGTTAGCAATACATATAAATACTACTTTAGTACCCCTGCCTTCCCCAGCCCCCAAATACTGTCCAAAACATAGCTGATAATTGTTTTGAAGGGAACCATTTAAAAGTAGCAATATTTTAAAAAGAGGCAACATCAGTGATTAGGAGTAATGTGTAAGTCTATAAAGGCCCAGCTGCCACTCCAATCTTCCCCACCTGAACCCACGTCTGCAGGGCCTGCCCAGGCAGTCCTCCAGCACCCACTTCACACCACCGCCTGCTGGCACCAAGGCCCTCACAGTGATGGGGCATGGGCTGGTGGTGGCCCCGGGTTCACATTCGCCAGCAGGCTGATCTCTCAGAAGAAAGTGTAGCACAGAAAATATCATGATTTTGATTCTTCCATATTTAGTAAGAACCAGATTAAATCCACAAATTCAGATGAAAATAGTATGAGAATACAGATATTAGATTTAAGAGCTTAACTAAACTCCATTCTGGAAAGCCAGACTAAGATAGTACACTAAGGAATGTGAAAGGAGGACCATAGTTAAGAAATTGCAAGATATAAAGAAAACTTCTTAAACAAAATTGGAAGGGAAGAAAGTCATTATCTGGACATTTGGACTAAAAGGAGACTGAATACACCTAGGAAACCAGCAACAGATAAAGGGGCCCTAACAATAAGACAGAAACAGAACAAGCAGTGAAAGCACATCACTGAGTATGTTAAGCACATTCAAGAAGTTCCAAAGCACCTTTGATAACCCAGCATTTGATGCCCAAGACTCCCTGACAGTAGTAGAGTCAAAGATCATAGGGCGAGGAAATTCAACTCTAGATGGTTGCAGAATATTTTAGGGATCCTCTAGCTGAAGAAGGATGTGATCTTTAAGAAATTCATCCTGTAGTCTTTGGCAGTAGCAGACTGTAGCTCTGAATCCCAGGCAAGATCTCAGAATGTAACTGGATGTATTCTGGCATATCCACCAAAAATCAGACATGTGGCTTACCAAGTGGAAGAGGAAACTGATTTAAGACCTTTTAAAAATTAGTCCTTTCCAATCTGTAAGCTAACTGTTTAGTGATACTGATGCTTTCAAAGTAAGTACCTTTGTCTAGGTAGAATATGCTGGTGTAACGTCAGCAAAACATCAACTTTACACTTACAATTGGATGGTTTCTCTACTGTCAACAATTCATTATCTCATGATGAAGAGTCATTTTTACCTTAATTTCTTTTTTTTTTTTTTTTATAATTTTATTTATTTATTTTTTCCCCCAAAGCCCCAGCAGATAGTTGTAGGTCATAGCTGCACATCCTTCTAGTTGCTGTACGTGGGACGCGGCCTCAGCATGGCGGGAGAAGTGGTGCATCAGTGCGTGCCTGGGATCCGAACCCAGGCTGCCAGCAGTGGAGCGCGCGTACTTAACCACTAAGCCACGGGGCCGGCCCTACCTTAATTTCTTAACTTGCACTAATTTTGTATATTAAATGTTTTGGGTTTTTTTGTTTGTTTGTTTTTGGTGAGGAAGACTAGCCCTGAACTAACATCTGTTGCCAATCCTCTTCTTTTTTTGCTGAGGCAGACTGGCCCTAGGCTAACATCCGTGCCCATCTTCCTCTACTTTATATGTGGGATGCCTGCCACAGCATGGCTTGATAAGCGGTGCGTTATGTCCATGCCCGGGATCCGAACCTGTGACCCCCGGGCTGCCGAAGTGGAGTGCACAAACTTAACGGGGCCAGCCCCTATTAAATGTTTTTACATGTTTTAACTTAGAACTAAATCCAAGGAAGGTGAACTTAAAGCAGTCAAATAACAACTTAATTAACCCTGCCATTCCAAGTTAATCTGATAGGTGTTTTAACTAGCTCACCAAAAGTATTTTAAACATTAAGTCTCACCTATCAGACTGGTTACTTCTAAATCTTACCACCTATGCAGGGAACTACGCTAGAAAGCCAGATTGTCTTCACCAATAAATGACAAACTGCTCTAGAATGACTTTCTTCAATGCTTTGATGGAAACTTAATTTTGGCATTTGATCTAGATACTAAAGTTGGTTACATTTTCCTCAGAATACTGACGAGTCACGAATGGTGAACTGAGTTAAAATTATTATTTGAGTTAAAATTATTAATTAGTAAATTCTACAGTCCAGCAAAAAAAAAAAAAGAAAAGAAAAAAACAAGCACAAGGAGGAATAGATGAAACAAGATTGGCAAATTGTTGGTAACTGCTAAATGTGGGAGGAGAACTTATCAGGAGGACTCATGACATAGATGTATTATCATATACCACCATAACAGAAATACGTGTGGATTCATCACACCCTTCTACTTCTGAGTATGTTTCAATTTTATATAATAAGAAGTTAAAAAAAAGTGTTCCAACATTTTTGGATCCAGTTTTTAAGGACCTCAATTCAGGGCCCATCAAGCCCTATTTCATTTTATAGAGGAATCTACAATTAAATTAATTTTTCAATACTTTTATATATTTTTTTTAAACCAGCATCTCCTAGTCATCAAATGTAACTTTCACAGTAACAGAAGAGTTCACCCTTATCTTCTCTTAAAAAAAATATTACTAGGTTGAATTTTAACCAAGTGTGGCACAATTGGCAGACTTGCCCAAAGGTGAGCCAGGGCATCCAGTGGCTCGTCTGACAACAAGCTAGCTGGGACCAGGGCATGCCAGGATAATCTTCAACATTTCTAAGTTTCCTAGACATGGAAAATGAGAGCTATTAGTCTGGCTCCTTGACCAAACTGTACCTATTTTTCATTAGAGTCTAGCAGAGTATAGCCAATCCAAGTAGGGCTTGCTCACTGCAAACCATGCTGATGACTTTTTAAAATGGTGAATCCAATCAGTGTTTGCTACAGATCAGAATAACAACAGGAGGAATAAAAAAAATAAGACCATTTGCCTCATTCTCTAGAGAAATGACCAAACCCACTGATTAAGCATAGACATAACAGATTCAATGTACAGATGGCAAATGTGAGAATGGGCAAATAACCTCTCTCTTTCTGTTCCAAGTATGGTGGGAGCCCCAGGAGGCAGAAGAAATCTAGGAGCTTACTTTGCACTGGCGAAACAATGATCCAGTGTAGAACAGACCCGCTATCTTTCCCTCAACCTCCCACTGGACTGGGGGCTTCCAGCCCCCAGGAGTGGGAGGAGTACTAAAATATCCCAAAGACTCTCAGGCCTCCACGTGCTGAGCAGCTGGCTTTCCCAGACACGCCAAATTCATTAGCATTAGTATTAGCATCCATTCCCCCTACCAAAGCTCCCTTTCCCATGCTTGCCCTCTAAAAAGGCGGATCCACAGAGGGGAGAGTCTTTCCAACGGAATGCCTCTCCGTACTGAGGGCCCAGCACTACCCAGGCCCCAACGTGGCTCTCTCTGTGGGAGGATGGAAGGATCAAGAGAACTCATGCCTGCTTCTCTCTTGCTAACACTTAGCCACACTGAAGTTTTTGCCATTTCCCAATTAAGCTTCTTCCATAAACCTTGCCCTGTAAAGCTATGGAATTTATAATAAACCATGGTGCATGATAGGTAGAGGCTAGAAGGACCCACCTTGCATGACACTGGAGGGGGCGGGGATGGTTCTGAAGATATATCCTAAAAGGAACAGGTTGGCCGGCCAATGGCTACGCCTCCTATACCTGGAATGACTGACTTTTTCATTCAGATACATCAGTAGAGTGAACAGAGATTTCAAATTTTACTTAGAGAAATTTTAAGAAGTGAAATAAAAGGATTTTTTAAAGTTTCATATTAATACTTACATTTTCCCCCACATTATCTTTTACTTTTAAAGAGAAACAAAGTTTTTGTTTTGGTGGTGAGTTTTTCCCCCAATGGCTGCAACTAATTTTTCTATGGTACCTGGTTTCCAAAGGGCTTTCACACTTACTTCACCCAGTACTGCTATAATTCCTATTTTACAGATGAGTAAACAAAATATAGCTCAAAAATTTAGGAGTCTTAATATAGCCATTACTTCTTAAAGTGAAATCAAATAAATCTTTTATAAAAACTCTTGCAGCAGAAAACAAAAATCCCTTGAAGCAAAACTGCTACTTTTTTCAATCACTGATCTGTTAGGAATTCAAATGGATCGTCCTTACCTTTACCAATTTTCCAGTGATCTCAGGCATATCTCCCATTTTCCGATTATCCAGCATCCGAATTTCATAAGACTGACCTATTTAAAGACATCGTGTATCAAAATAATCCATATAAAGAACATTACTCTGTTTAACATAAAAATTCAACTGTCTCGCAAAACATACAATTACCCAATGTTAATTTGAAAATTTTATTTATTTACTTATTTTTCCCCCCAAAGCCCCAGTAGATAGTTGTATGTCATAGTTGCACATTTTTCTAGTTGCTGTATGTGGGACGCGGCCTCAACATGATCGGAGAAGCGGTGTGTCGGTGCGCGCCCGGGATCCAAACCCGGGCCGCCAGCAGTGGAGCGTGGGCACTTAACCGCTAAGCCACGGGGCCGGCCCCCCAATGTTAATTTGGGAGAGAGACAAATTCAGATTATCTTTCTCTTCCCTGCAAATCACACCATCCATTCCTTCTTACACTATTACGAAGACTGAAGAGTTTCTCTGTCAACTTATTTCATATTACTCTCTCACACTAAATTTTTATTATGCATACGTGCATTATCCGAGACCAATTTTTTGTAACAGCTTTATTGAGATATAATTTATATACCACAAAATTCACTCTTTTAAAGGGTACAATTGGTTTTTAGTATATTCCGAGTTGTGCAACCATCACCGCTACCAATTTTTGAACATTTTCATCACCCTAAAAAGAAAACTCATACCCATCAGCAATCACTTCTCATTCTCCCACCTTCCTGGCCCCTTGCAACCACTAATCAATCTACTTTTGTCTCTAGGGATTTGCCTACTTTGGACACTTGATATAAATGGTATTATACAATATGTGGCCTTTTATGACTAGCTTCTTTTACGAAGCATCATGTTTTCAATGTTCATGCATGTTGTAGCATGTATTCGTACTTCATTCCTTTTTATTGCAAAATATTATTCCATTGCATGAACATAACACAGTTTGTTCATCCATTCATCAGTTGATGGACATTTGGGTTGTTTACACTTTTTGGCTATTATGAATAATAATACTATAAACATTTGTGAACAGGTTTTGTGTGAGCCAAGGTCAAATTTTAATCCTGGAGCTTTCTCCTTTGTGTCCAATGCACCCAACTCACATCTTCTCACTGCTCAATTAGTATCCATAAGAAAACACAAAGAGATATTCACACACCAATCTATATAACCAGGAAAATAAGCTGCTGCCTAAAGTTAATAATGTACTCCAAACCCACAAAAATGATTTCTAGATTATCTGTCATTAAATAATAAAAATGACATAGTTTGAAAATTATACATTTTCTACATACAGTAGAAAGTATATGTAGAAAATCAGCAGGAATTAAAGAGTGCTTCTAGTACCATATGAAGTTGAGGCTCTTTATGATATAACTACCAATATCTTGTCCACACTCCAATGAGGCTTACAGAAAAATACACAAAGAGTATTAGATCACAGGGTCAAAATACAACAAAGGGTTATCAAAACACAACCAAATCATTCCAAGGCTGGTGAAGGAAAACAGCTATATATAGTATGTACCAAAGAATAGTCCTTAAATTCATTCAACAGATTGAAAGAGATTAACACTAAAAAAACACCTTTAGGGCAAGAGACAGTTTTAAAAAGTTAAATATGCAGCATATTTAACTAAGAAATAATTTTTAAAATAAAGCACGTGAATAGATATCTTTGAAAAATACACCATTATACATTTAAAATTATACTCAACCTCACAAGAATTTAGGAAATAAAAACTAACAAAATGTGATTATCAGATCAACAAAAAATGTTTAATTAATTAAAAATCAAGTAGGCAAAGATGGGGAGAAATAAGTACATAAAATGTGGGGGAATATAAATTGATACAGTCTTTCTGAATGGCAATCTGGCTGCACCTGTTAACGAGTTAACTACTCTATCCTTCAACTCAGGGATTCATTAGTCAAACAGAAAAAAATGCAAGAGGGGGAATATTTGCAACTCACATTACACAAAAAGGGCTAATCTCCCTAATATATCAAGAACTCCTATAAAATCGCTAACAAATGTCCAACATCCCTAGAAGAAAAAAATGAGCAAATGACATGAACATGTGGTTCACAAAAGAAGGAAATGCCAACAGTTCTTAAACATTAAAAGACATTCAACCTCCATCAGAGAAATGCAAATTAAAACCACACTGAAATCATTTTTTACCAGTCAGGTTAGCATAAATCTCTCAGTTTGAGTTGTTGAGGCTAAAGGGAAACAGTCACTCTCCCATCCAAGTACTAACCAGGCCCTACCTTGCTTAGCTTCCGAGAGCAGACAAGGTCAGGCGCATTGAGGGTGGTATGGCTGTAGACGAAATGGTCACTCTCACATACTGACAGGAGGAGTGGAGGAGTGGAGACGGTAAAGAGCAGTCACTCTCTAGAGATATTTTGAAGGTAGAGCCTAAGCATTTTCTGGTGTATTAGATGTAAAGTGTGAAAGAAAGAAGAGTTGAGGATTATTCCAGATTTTTGGCAAAGGAATTTTCTGCCATGGGGAAGATCACAAGGAGTAGAATTGGGGGAGAAAATCAAGAGTGCAATTGAATATATTAAGTCTGAGACATCTTTTGGACATCCAAGTTGATAATCAAGTTGATTTATAAATCTGGAGCTAAGAGGAAGAGATCCTGGTTGGAGATATTAATAGGGGACTTTCCAGAATACAGTTGTTAGGTAAAGCCATTTAAAGACAGGATCATTTCAAAAGTGAGTGCAGAAAAAGGAAAGCGAGCCAAGGCACTTCTCTGGGATAAATATAGAGGGTAACTCAAAGAAGCCAGTAAGATGGAAGGTGGACGAAGTGAACGAAGTACACAGTATCCTGGAAGCCCTTCCATTTGGCTGCCAAGGAGGGAGGGAAAACTTGTCTCACCAGGATTATCCTGTGATCCTCAAAAACTCAAAAATTCTCAGGATTGAAAAAAATCATATAAATGAAGCAATCCCAATGTTCTTATCTTCTTTTGTATTAGTTTTTCTAGTCGACCTAACAAGAATACTTCTGTGCTCAATATAAAGTTCATTTGGTTTCCACAAGCAGATCTCAAGATTTGTTATTCCTATATTAATGCACTGTAAATTTTTATTCTTCTAAAATCAAAAGTAAGTTTTTTTAAAAAGGCTCTAACATTTGTTGTGCTTCAAATGGTTTCCCTATTGGAAACTATGTATGTCCTAGCTTTTCTCCTTCAGTTTTATCCCAACTCACTATTTAGAAATCCCTCTCCACCAACGATGTTCTCCAATGGTAATGTCCACTGAATGAACTATCAGGCTTTTATTGGTTTAATGTCTCCTTCTACTTGACCCTTCCATAATTATTTTAATAACACAACTTCTTAAAATATTAGGCTAGGTTCTAACTGAAATATAAAGAAGGTTCCACTATTAATGAAGTATAAAGGTAACGCAAACAGCAATATTCTATGAGTTCTAGTCTTATTTTTAGCTTTATCTTCTGAATTTACCTTTCATGTTTTGATTTTTCACTTTTTTTGGCTTAGATACGCAATAGCACTGACAGAGTTGAAAAATATAACTCTTGTGAGTTCATGTCCCCACCCACCTCTGAATATGGACTCTAAGTCTAGCTTCCTCAGATGGACTCCAGAGCAACCTGGAGTCCAAGATGTGACAGCCCCTCTTGGCTAAGTTCAAAGCATTTATTTCTAAGTTCCTAATATAGAACTTTAATCTATAACAAGAACCAAAGCTAACCTCACAGAAATCTACTAATGTGTAAAATGAAATTAATAAAAAATATTTTTTCCTTTTTGAAGCTTCTATCATTTAACAGTATTTTTAATCCAACAGACATGCTATTTCCTAGGGCCTAAAACCTGTTTGCAAAGTAGCTAATATGGATTAATTAACAGGATTCTCCAAGTAGCACTTGGCCTCCAAATGAACAGGTATTTCTGATCCAAGAGCAGCAATGAGCTGATCTGGAATAAATAAAGGGGTTACGATCAGAAGTCTCACTTGTATCAAGAGGGTGGAAGCATCAAAGACTCAGCTGGAGCTGTAAGACAAGGGGCAGCCTATTCCAGCCAGACCCCGCTCAAAGGGAGAGCCAGCTGTGTTTACTCCACCCTCTTGTGGCTCCATGTTGGGACTACAGTTCCTTATTCCACAAAGTCAGAGACTTAACTTTTCTTGTTACCTAAGAGCAGAGGAGGACAGCTGCTCAGGCATAACCAGGAAAACACAAATACAGGTTTTAAACTCTGTACTTCTATCGTCCAAATAGCACAAAAACGAACACTAAGGAATCAATACAACTTGTAAAACTTGTTCCAATTTCTACGTGACTGATGAAGTTAAGACTACACAAAATTTACATCTTTTTCTTTATGGTGTTACACAACAGTGAATATTCTTCAGCTATAGCTGCCCAAGAGACAGAAGGTGAGCAATGAGCTTTATGAGGAGGCTACTAGCAGTGGCCAAGCTACAGCCAAAGAATGGCACATAGCCCCAACTATGTGCCAACCCTCCTTTAAGGATATCCATTCTATATAAAAGGTGATGGTGACGGGAAGCTCATATATTTGCCTAAATATTCAAAATAATAAAAAATTGAAGCATGGTCTCCAGACCAGAGGATCAGCATTACTGATGCTTGATGCTTCCAGCATTACTGGAAACTTGTCAGAATTGCAAATTCTCTGGCCCTACTCCAGACCCACTGAATCAGAAACTCTATGGAGCCCAGCAATCATGTTTTGACAAGCCCTCCAGGCGATCCCAATGCATCCTGAAGTTGGAAAACCACTGCTTCATGTAAAGCTACAAATATCCAGTCAGTCAATACTCCTTCGTTGACAAAGTGTTCAGGACCGTTTCCTGGAAATAACTTTAAACTCAAAATGCTCTGAGTAAAACGATAAGAATTAACCATCTTTTCTCAGCAGCTAAACAAATACTGTAGGATACATTATGATAAACACTCTCCCCAAATGCTCTACCAAAGAGAAAAATGGCCTGGTTTGGAATGCTGATTATATATTTACATCATTTTGCATAA